TAGCCCTTGTTTTTCCTGATGCTCGGGTGAGTCCTGGCTCTGCACTCAGGAATAACTCCTGGTGGTGCTTGGGGAGACCATATGCATGCCGGGGATTGAACCCTGATCGACAGTGTGCAAGGTGAATCCCCTATCCACTGTACTATCCCTCCTTGCCCTGTCCCTTGCTTCACCTCTTTTATTTTATTTTGCTTTTTGGGTCACACTCAGCAATGCACAGGGGATACTCCTGGTTCATGCACTCAGGAAGTACTCCTGGCTGTGCTCAGTGGACCAAATGGGATGCTGGGAATTGAACCCGGGTTGGGCCGCGTGGAAGGCAAACGCCCTACCCGCTGTGCTATCGCTCCAGCCCCACTTCACTTGTTTTAGAACAGATGTTTTTATATGCACAGTATTCAGAATAATGCAAAAGGTACATGAGAGTGTGCAGGAAAAAGTCATTCCCAATTCTTGCTTCCTCTGAGGCCGAGAATATTTCCTAAGTCTGTAGTGTTATTCCTTAACATCTTTGCACAAAATTAAGTGTGGAGGCCAGGAAGACAGTAGAGCGGTTAGGAGCAAATAATTGGCATACACAGGATGCTGTTTTAATGCCCAGCACTGCAGGGCCTCCTGAGCACTGTTGGGTATAGTTCTCTAGCCTCTAACCCCTTTCCAGGTGATCATCTCATTTTGGGGCACTGGCATTTGGTCTCTGGCCCCTGGGCCTCTGAACACTGCCTGGGAGGCCAAAGAGGGAGAAAAAAATCAGAGTCCAAAGTGCTAACTTAGAGGGATGTAGTGCATGTTTCGGGATGCCCCTGACCACCAGCTGTGGTTCCAAAACCAAAGGAAGAAAGAGGTCAAAATACAGTACAAGAATTGAAGCATTTGGTTTAACTGTTGGGGGTCGCTACTGGCTCTGCTCCTGCAGGGCTTACGTGGGGGTGGAATTTGAACTGGGCCTAAATCCTTCTTGTCTCTTTGGCCTTTTATTTTGTATTGGGGCCGTATCTGGTGGTGCTCAGGGTTTGCTGCTGATACTGCTGTCACTCCAGGGTGTCCTGTACTATCTCTCCAGCCATGCCCCATTTTTTTTTATAAGTACAACTACTAGCCTTCCAAGAGTACTGCCCCTTGTGTTTCTGGTTAAAGTCTACCTGGGAGACTGTAATGCATCATTACTTGAGAGTGGGATTCCCTTGACTACTGTAATTTATTTGTTTTATTTGTTTTCTTTTCTTAATGGGTGGGGTGGGGTTTGGGCCACAACCAGCTGTGTTCAGCACGTCTGGCTCTGTGCTCCTGGATCACTCCTGGTGAAGCTGAGGAACTATATGAGGTGCCAAGGATTGAACGTGGGTTGTCCACATGCAAGGCAAGCGCCTTACCCACTGTTCTATTCCTCAGGCCCCTGTTTAGGGTCTTTTGTTTTTGTTTTTTGTTTTTTCTTTCTAGCCCCTGTTCAGTTTCTGTGGATACTGTCACAGTTGTAATTACTAATGAATGTAAATATTTTGGAATGGGCACTCATTTCTTGTTTATTCTTTGCAGACATCCAGGAACTGATCGAGGTGGATGATGTGATGGAGGATGGCTCCCTGAGCTTCGGTCTCAATGGAGGACTGGTGTTTTGCATGGAGTACTTTGCCAATAACTTTGAGTGGCTGGAGAACTGCCTTGGCCATGTCAAGGATGACTACATCCTTTTTGACTGTCCAGGTAGCTCAGTAATTAGATTGTCACCTTCCCTGAGTTGTGCAGTTCTGTCCTTGGTGGGAGAAAGTGAAATTAGCATCTCATTTACTTTTACCCCAGATTCTTGGACAATGGACAGTCATCCCATGAGGGGCTGTGGAATGTCTGTTTGTTTTCTTCTGTTTGGGGGCCAAATCCAGAGGTGCTAGAGGCTGGGGCTGTTCCTAACTGTTATCAGGAGGTTGCTCCCAGCCCTGCTTGGGGGACCAAAGCATGCTGGGAACTGAGCCCAGGCTTTCTGCATGCAGAGTATATGCTCAGTCTATTGTTTCTTGGGTACCAGGTCATGCAGCATTTTTTTTTTTTTGCTTTACAGGTCACACCTGGTGATACTCAGGAATTACTCCTGACTTTGCACTCAGGAATCACTCCTGGCAGTGCTCAGGGGAGCATATGGGATGCTGGGAATCGAACCCGGGTCGGCCGTGTGGAACGCAAATGCCCTACCTGCTGTGCTATCACTCCAGCTTCGGTTATGCAGCTCTTGAAAGGTTTGCTTTAGAGCTAGAGAGACAGCAGGATGGGTAGGATGCTGCGGCAGACAGAGGTTCAGTCCTTGGCACCATATATGGGTCAATGAATACTAGTAGGTATGGGCCAAAACCAAGATTTTTTGTTTGTTTGTGTTTTAGGGCCATAGTACAGCAGCTAAAGCCCTTGCCTTACTTTCTGCCAGCCCAAGTTTGGATCCCTGGTACCACATAGGATCCCCCAAGCACTGCCAGGAGTTATTTTTAGTATAGAGTCACGAATCCTCCCAGAATACCAGTGGGTTTGGCCCAAAGTTCCTCCCCTCACACTAAGAGAATAAAAATTTGTTTTAAAATCTGTCATTGTCGGGGCTGAATCACTGCGATAGCACAGCGGGTGGGGCGTTTGCCTTGCACGTGCCCGACCCAGGTTCGAATCCCAGCTTCCCATATGGTCCCCTGAGCACCGCCAGGAGTGGTTCCTGAGTGCAGAGCCAGGAATAAACCCTGAGCATCTCTGGGTGTGACCCAAAATGCAAAAATAGTTAATAAATAAATAAGTAAATGAAATCCCTGTGACTGTCCTCTAGTTGTTCATTGATTTGCTTGAGCAGGCCCAGTAACTTCCCCATTGTGAGACTTGTTGTTACTGTGTTCGTCATATCGAATACGTCACAGGTAGCTTAACAGTCTTTGCCATGTGGGCAATATACTCTCGGTAGCTTGCTGGGCTATCCGAGAGGGGCAGAGGAGTTGAACCTGTTTTGCTGGGCCGGCTGTGAGCATGGCAAATGCCCTTACCGCTGTGCTATCACTGCAGCCCGTTTTAAAATCATTTTTAATAATTTTCGTGCAACCAGCCAACATGGCCGACTGGAGTTTGATTCCTCCACCCCTCTTGGAGAGCCCGGCAGGCTACCGAAGAGTATCTCGCCTGCACAGCAGAGCCTGGCAAGCTCCTCGTGACATATTCCATATGCCAAATACAGTATCAATTGTCACAATGGAGATGTTACTGGGCCTGCTCGAGCAAATCGATGAACAACAGGAGAACAGTGATGATGATGATGACAGTATATTTTCTTTGTATGCCCCTTTTACGTACATGTGCACCCAGAGTTGCTTAAAAAATTCCGGGGGGTGCCAGGGGAGCAGGTGTGATAGAACAATGGGTCGGGCGTTTGCCTTGCATGCGGCTGACCTGGAACCCATGCATCCCATATGGTCCCCCCAGCACTGCCAGGATTAATTCGTGAGTGCAGAGCCAGGAGTAACCCCTGCGCATCACCAGGTGTGACCCAAAATGAAAAAAAAATATTGGGGGACCCAGAGAGATACTACAGTAGGTAGGGCACTTGCCTTGAACACAGCTAAGGCGATCCCTGCTATCCTATATGGTTCCTGGAGCCTGCCACGAGTCATCCATGGGCACAGAGCCAGGAATATGCCCTGAGCACTATCAGGTAGTTCCTCCCCACCCCCCCCCCAAAAAAAAACAAAAATTGAATATAGTTTAGGGGCTAGAGATATAGTGGGCTGGGGACATGCTTTACATGTAGTGGGCCTTGCATGTAGTAGGCTTTGCATGTAGGACTCTGAGTAGCTTCGAGCCCTCCCAGCAGTTTCGGAGAGACCCTCAAGCATCCCCACGTGCGGCTTAAAACAAGCAAAATTGGATATATTACTTGCAGGGATTGACTTCCTTTAAAAAAGTTTTGGGGGGACCATGGGTGCCGTATCTGATGATACTCAGGGGTTACTCCTAGCTCCTGTGCTCAGGAATTACTCCTGGCTGTGCTCAAGGGACCCTATGGGATCGAACCCAGGTTGGCTGTGTGCAAGGCAAGTTGCCACCCTCTATATTATCTCTCAAGCCCCCAAAGACAGTTTCTGGGAAAAGTTTTTTCCCATAATTGAGGGTTGAATGTATTTCATGCTTATAATAGGCTTGTGTTCTTGTAGGTCAGATTGAGTTGTACACACACCTGCCCGTGATGAAACAGCTGGTTCAGCAGCTGGAACAGTGGGAGTTACGAGTCTGTGGAGTGTTTCTTGTTGATTCTCAATTCATGGTGTAGTCGTTCAAGGTTTGAAACTATACCTGTCCTTGATTTTTCAGTCTCCGGCACAAGCAGAGTACAAATACCTTTAGTCATAATCATATAATTCTTAACAGTTCATGAACTATACGCAGGAGTGACTTAGAACTTATGTTTGTTAAATTAATATGCCAAGAAGATGGCTCCAGTGGCAGAGCACAGAGCTGGTATATTCGAGGCCCTGAGTTTGCCCCTTGTGCAGTTCTAGTGGTCCCCAACTCTCAGCTGTCGCCTTCAGGAGTTGTCCTAGGGCAGTGTCAGAAGTAAGTCCCAAGCACCACTGTGTGTGGCTCCAAAACTAGAAAAATAAAAAGCTGGATGCTAGAGAGATAGTACAGTGGGTAGAGCTCTTGCCTTGCATGTGGCCAACCTGGGTGTCATTCCTGCCATACTGCCACTGGGCCCCCATAGCCGCTCCAGGAGTGATCCTTGACCACAAAGCTCGGAGTACTACTGGGTATTCCCCAAAATTGAAAGGGAGGGCGTTTGGTTCCGTCTCCAGCACCCATATGGTTCCCAAAGCTGGTCAGGAGTAACTCCTTAGTGCAGAAGCCGAAGTGACCCACTAGTTATATCAGGGGATTGTGTGACCCAGAAACGAAAAAGGAAATACCCATCAGGTGAGGTGGAGAGGGAGCATGAGAGAAGATAACGTTAAAGGGTCAGAAATAGTATAGGGCTTCCCAAAAATAAATAAATAAGTAAATTTTAAATATGGGGGCTGGAGTGATAATACAGCCGGTAGGGCCTTGCACACAGCCAATCCGGGTTCGTTTCCTAGCATCACCTAAGCACCACCAGTAGTAATTCCTGAGTGCAGAGCCAGGAGTAACCCCTGTGCATTGCCAGGTATTACCACCCTTCCCTTCTCAAAAAAAATAGTAAAGGGCTTAAGGAGCTCGCCTTGATGTGGCCCACCTGCTTTTAATCTCTGTCACTACATGTTTCCTCAGTGCTGAACTCAACCCCAGCTACCTCCTGAACACTTTAAAATATTGTTGAGTGGAGAAGTGTGGTCACTGTCGATCGCGTTTCTCCTTCCCACCTCACCTTTAGAATCCTAAGGTCAGCTATTGGCCCAGCAGTCTTCTGTTAGGCCCAGCCTGGCAGTGCTCAGGGCTCACTACTGGCGCTGTGCTGAGGAATCACTTAGGTAGTGCTCTGGGAACCCTATGGAGTGCTGGGCTAGAACCTGGGCTGACCAGGCGCAAGGCAAGCGCCTTAAAGCCTGGACTCTTGCTCGGGCCCCAATCTTAGCGTTTCTCCTATTTAGGTGGGTTTTGTTCCAGTGGGGATCAGAAACCTTTTGTTTGGACACTGTTGGTGACAACTGATTCATCGTCCCTTTTCTGCGTCCTCTTTCAGTTTATTTCTGGCATCTTGGCAGCCTTGAGTGCTATGGTATCTCTAGAAATCCGGCAAGTTAACATCATGACAAAAATGGACCTGCTGAGTAAAAGAGCTACAAAGGAAATTGAGAAGTAAGTTCACAATAATTAATGTCACATTTGCAGTGCTGAAACTTTTTTGTTTCACTTCGATTGTCAGTCTACAAATTTAGTGTTTAGAATTCTTTCTTTCACCAGTCTCTCATGTTTAAAGGTTTCTAGATCCAGACATGTATTCTTTATTAGATCATTCTACAAGTAACTTCAGAAGCAAAAAATTCAATAAATTGACTAATGCCATATGTGGGCTGGTAAGACTTTGTATTTTTACAATTTTTGGTGGTTGAGGGTGCGGGCCTCCTGTGCTGGGGGGCCTAGGGGCCGCCCTGATTATTGGCCCACCAGGCTAGTAGTGGTCATTGCTAGGGCCCAGAGGGCCGTACCAGCAGTTTTGGTTCCTTCCTGGCTGTACCCAGCAATGCTTAGGATGCCATCTGGTGCCAAGAATCAAGCGCTGTGCTAATCCCTGGGCTGATGAGTTTTGCAAGTGTTTGGGGTGTTTGTGGGTTGTTTTTAAAGTTTGGGGACCACACCCGGTGGTGCTCAGGGGCTGTTTCTCCCCTGTGCCTGGTGGACCATATGTGGTGCTGGGTGTTCAAACTGAGGTGTGCGGGGTGTAGGCCATTTGTAACCCCTGTCGTAGCTCTTCATCCCCTCCCGCGAACCCCCCAGACCCATATTTTTCTTAATCGTCTTATCACATGCTTACACACCCCAGGCACTGGCCACCATAAGGACAGCACAGACCAGCACATGTCTTTTTTTTTTCTTTTTTTATGTTTTTTTTCCCCCTTATTTTATTTTATTTTTTTTTACAGTTGTAGATTTACAATTTTTTGTGCTTTGGTTTCAATTATACAATGATCAGATACCCATCCCTCCACCAGTGCCCATTTTCCACCACCATGGATAATATCCGCCCACTCCCATCGCCCCATCCCCCCCGCCTCTGTGGCAGGGCAATCCCCTGCCACACATGTCTTTTTAGGGGAGCAGCATGTTGGGAGCGGTTGGCTGTCTGCTTTGAAGTTAGTATAGAAGTACGGAGAGAGCTCAGTGGGCAGCACCACAGATTTTGCACACAAGGGGCCCAGGGTTATCTCTGGCACCATATGGTCGCCACCAGCGTTGTCTGGATGTGGCCTCCCCTCACCTCTGAAAAAAGTTGTCATTGGTTGTAGCAGAGAGGGCAGGAGGCCACACTGACCAGTGGTCAGAGTTTATTCTTGGCTGTGCCTCCAGAAATCATTCCTGGTGGGCTCAGGGAGCATACGGGATGCAGGGGATCGAACCCGGGTTCATCCCTTGCCTACGTGCAAGGCAAGCGCCCACCTTGGTGTACTAGCTCTCTCGTCCCACAGCAGAGAAATTCTGCAATGTCTTTTTTTCCTGGCCACTTGGCACATCAGAATTGCCTGTACCCTTTTGAAATTTTCAGTGGTGGTTGAATGCAGATCAATTACTTTAAAAGAAGTCTCAGTTTCTGGTCGGGGCAGGAGAGATAGCACAGCAGGTAGGGCGTTTGCGTTGCATGGGTCCGAGCCGGGTTTGATTCCTAGCATCCCATAAGTCCCCTGAGAACCACCAGGAGTTATTCCTGAGTACATGAACCAGGAGTAACCCCTGTGCATCACCAGGTATAACCCAAAAATAAAAAAAAAAGTCTTTAGTTAAGTAATGTTGTAATGTTACTAGTGTTCCAGTAGGTCAGAGGTCATAAAAAAATTAATGCTGATTTGCTGTTGTTCTGTCTGCTCCTCCCTGCACAGGCATAGATGGTATTAATTAGACTACCAATGTTCACCCTCAAGCGTCAGTTGAATGACCTTTCTGAAATCTCTAATTTGTAGATTGATGACTACAGGATGGTCCGATTTTTGCCTTACGATCACTCAGATGAAGAAAGCATGAACATTGTATTACAGCATATTGATTTTGCCATTCAGTACGGAGAAGACTTGGAATTCAAAGAACCCAAGGTAATTTCTGACGATTTAGATCTGCCGAGGGCTGGAGCGATAGCACAGCGGGTAGGGCGTTCGCCTTACAAGCGGCCAACATGGCCGACCCGAGTTCGATTCCTCCGCCCCTCTCGGAGAGCCCGGCAAGCTACCGAGAGTGTTCGATATGCCAGACACAGTAACAACAAAGTCTCCAATGGAGAAGTTACTGGGCCCGCTCGAGCAAATCGACGATCAACGGGAGGGCCTTTACCTTTTGCCTTTTAGATTTGCCAGGGCCAGAGAACGGCGCAGAGGGAAAGACCATTCTCTGCCTCCCCTGGGCTGATGCTGGGTCAGTTCCCCGTTTCATGTCTGGTCCCTGAGCACAGAGCCAGGATTGCCCTGAACACCTCTGCCCTCCTGTTTGATCTAAGCAGCTCCTTGAGTTAAAGTCTCAGGGGCAGCAAGAACCTGGCCCGTCCTGGCTGATCTCTGGGTGTGGCTCAGGAACTGAAAACCAAAAAAAACAAAGAGTAACCAAAACCCTGGTTGTGCATTTGCTGGCTTTTATGCTCCAGAACCTGATGGTGCTTTGTGCCCCCTGTTCAGGGTGGTGCCCCACCCCCTGTGCTGTCTCATTCGCCCCAATTTTGTTCATGAATATCTATCAGCACTACCTCTGGGTATTATAGATCATTGCCTGAACAGTAGGTAAATACATACTGTGTCTGTGGAGAAATTAACATATTTTCTATTTTGTGTTTTATTTATATCAGGAACATGAAGAAGAATCATCTTCTATGTTAGATGAATATTTTCAAGAATGCCAGAACAAATGAGAAGTTTGTTACGATGCAACTGGATGCGGGGCTGGAGTGATAGCACAGTAGGTAGGGTGTTTGCCTTGCACGCAGCAGACCTGGGTTCGATTACCAACATCCCATATGGTCCACCAAGCGCCGCCAGGAGTAATTCCTGAGTGAAGAGGCAGGAGTAACACCTGTGCTCTCTATGTGTGACCCAAAAACCAAAAAGAGAAAAAGAAAAAAAATGCAACTGGATGATTGTGAAGAGTAGCCATCACAATTTATTTAAATGAAAATATAACAGATAAAGTAAAAACAAAGAATAAAAATCATAAAATATACCGAGGCAAGATACTCATTGGTGGGAGGGTCTCCAGACAGAGACACTGATGTGAGACCCTGGGCTTCTTCCAGTTGTAACCATGCTAGGTCCTCTGGGAACTGGTCCAATGTTGCCACAGCGGGTGGCCGTGCAGCTGGTACTGGAGAGATCATTGACGGCGCTGTCCTTCGACACGGAGCCAAGTATGCTTTCAGAGCTGGAGCTAAAGAATCAATAAGAGAAAAGGTCACCCAGAGGGCTCCTTCCATGGATTCTCCAAAGCTGACCCCAAAAGGGAGCCCAGCAGGAAGGGGAGACCATGGGCCCACCTCACGGGGATTTCCTGTGGAGGCCTCCCCAGAATAGGCTCTCCGGCCTGTGACTCTCCTTTCCCACACCAGCGCCCAGGACACCTCTAGGTGGGCCTTTTCGCATTCCCCATTTACTTGTGCATATACACACACCCCTTGGTTCTTACCCGTTTTATTCTGGCGCTCTGAGTCTCGTTCTCTGCCATATGTGTAAGGCCAAGGCACTGAACGCGGTGCTCTTTGGGGAGTTGACACTCCTTGGCCAATCTCAACTTTCTGCTTAGATGGTGTCTGGCTCTGCTTGTTGCTGGCTGATTCCAGACTTTCTTCAGAGGAACTGGACCCAGAGGATATGTAGAAGATCTTCTTTCTCTCCTGTGGGCTGCTCTGCGGAGGGAGAACCACAAAGGCTCAGCTCCAGAAGCGCTGCTTCCCCCTCCCTTCTGAGTTCCTCCCTGCTGGTGGACCTGCATCTACACAGACCTCCCATAGGAATGAGACTGAAACAATCAAGTTTAGAAAAGTCTTGGCCCAAGAGCACCTCCTAGTGCCAACTCAGTGAGCAGTGACCTGGCCTTGGGGGCTAGATTTGATGACTCACCTGGTAGGAGAGGCTGCCCTCAAGATGATCTCACAACACACACACAGACACACGTACATACACAAATACACATACTCACACACACACACAGCATCTCCAGTACACACTCAAATTTACGCCCTCCGATAAACACGTTCACACATGGGTGTGCACACTCTTCCACATACACAGCTTCTGCGCCATCACACTCAGGGAGGTGATGAAGACTGATCACGGTCATCAGTGCTGGGCTGCCCGGGCCAGTTCCTGCTGACCTGAACTAGCGACTGTCTTCGTGAAGCATTCCGGGGAGTTCTCCAATGAGTCCTCACCCAGTTTCTGAATCTTTTCAGTGTCCTACACTTGGGGGTTTTACAACCACGATTTCTTGGTAAACAGCAAAACATGTTTGCTGTCTATGCGTTTCCGCAGTGAACCAAGTAATGAGTATGGGGCAGTTGGGGAGGCTGCAGAATGTCTGGTTGCATCACAAAGAGAGGTCGGTGATGTCACCGAGCGCATCACAGCGAGGACAGGTCAGCTGTGGCCCTGCAGCAGGGCTTGCTCTCTGTGCAGCCCCTCTGGGCTGCTGCTGCTCTCCCTGTTCCCACAAGTCCTGTCCATGTGGTGAACTCAAGGCCCTGGGGAGAGCAGGGAGCAGCCACTTGAAAGAATGTGCTGCTAAAATGTTATTTTCCTTTTTTTTTTAAAATGTGAGTGGACTGCTATTTATTCGGCCACTGATTAGCTGACTGAATTGGGCATGAACTCCTCATTACACTATTTTTTTTCATTTTTTATCATTGTCTTTATTGAATCACCGTGAGAGCAGTTACAAAGTTTCGGTTCTATGTCGGGTCTAAGTCTCAGTCATGCAATGAAACACCCGTACCTTCACTAGTGCCCACTCTCCACTACCAAAATCCCCAATATACCCCCATCCCACACCCTCCCTATACCTGTGGGGCAGATGATTTCCACATTACTCTCTCTCTCTACTTTGATCACATTACTCTCTCTCTCTACTTTGATCACTTTGACCCAGCAATACCACTCCTGGGAATATATCCCAGAGAGGCAAAAATGTATAGTCGAAGTGACATCTGCACTTGTTTGTTCATTGCAGCACTCTTTACAATAGCCAGAAACTGGAAGAAACCTGAATGCCCAAGAACAGATGACTGGTTAAAGAAACTTTGGTACATCTACACAATGGAGTACTATGTAGCTGTTAGAAAAGATGAAGTCATGAAATTTACATACAAGTGGTACAATATGGAAAGTGTCATGCTAAGCGAAATGAGTCAGAAAGAGAGGGATAGACATAGAAAGATTGCATTCATCTGGGGGATATAAAGTAACAAAATATGAGATTAATACCCAAGAATAGCTGAGATCAGCACCAGGAGGATAGAGGCCAGCCAGGTATTCTAGAGGGAAGGGCAGTTCAGATAGAGAAGGGAGCACCAAATAAAGGGTGTTTGGAGGATCCTCCCAGGAGGGGAGATGCATGTCGAAAGTAGACTATGGACTGAACATGTTTGCCACTCAATGCCTCTTTTGCAGACCACAACACCCAAAAGGAGAGAGAGAACACAGGGGATTGCCCTGCCACAGAGGCGGGGGGGATGGGGGCATTGGGGTGGGGGGGTTATTATCCATGGTGGTGGAAAATGGGCACTGGTGAAGGGATGGGTATCTGATCATTGTATAATCGAAACCCAAGCACAAAAAATTGTAAATCTACAACTGTACCTCATGGTGTTTCACTAATAAAAAAAAAGATAGTAAAAAATTTAAAAAAAAATTTAAATGGAAAAATTAAAAAAATTAAATATTTTAAAAATGAAATTAAATTTAAGAAAAAAAAAGAAAATGGGAGTTTGGGGGGCTGGGCGGCCAGGGCTCTGGGGGAAGAGCAGAGAGTGTTTATTGCGAAATAACTTATTCGTTACCACCCTCATTTTTTAAAATTATTATTAGTATTATTATTATTTCTTTTTGCTTTTTGGGTCACACCCGGTGATTCCCAGGGGTTCCTCCTGGCTCTGCACTCAGGAATTACTCCTGGTGGTGTTTAGAGGACCATTGGGGATGCTGTGAATCGAACCTTGCCGGCCACTTGCAAGGCAAATGCCCTGCCAGCTGTCATATCGCTCTAACCCCCAAATTTTTTTATTTTATAAAGTGTTTTACAATATTTGATTACATTCAATATTCAGACTCCAATCCCACCACCAGTACACCTTCTCACCACCATATTTTGGATAGTTCCATCCCGAACCTTAATCCCTGTCCCAAAGCAGAACTCAACGAATCTATTCTCTTGTATTGTTTGATATGAAAAACTGCCAGGGCACTGAAGTGATAGCACAGTGGGTACGACGTTTGCCTTGCACGCGGCGAAACTGGGTTCGATTCCAAGCATCCTATATGGTCCCCTGAGCACCATTAGCCAGGGATAATTCCTCAGTGCAGAGCCAGGGGAAATTCCTGTGCATCGGCAGGTGTTACCCAAAAACAAACAACAACAACAAAAAATCTCTGAAAATCCTATAAAAAAAGTATCCTTAGAGGAAAGAGTGTGTATTCTACCCAGGGGCCATTGAGCCCTTCTATAAGTGATCACTAACATGTTGTAAAAGGTTGAACCTTGTGTATATATATATATATATATATATACATATATGTATATATATATATACATATATAAAGTATATATGTGTGTATGTAAAAAATATATATATATTTCCCTCTAAGATTGGTTGCCTGCTACTTTGAATCCTGTCAAACGGGGTACCGTATTTTTGGAGTATGAGCTCCCGCATTTTTTTGCTTTTGGGATCACATCCAGTGGTGCTCAGGGATCACTCCTGGCTCTGTGCTCAGGGATCACTCCTGGCAGGCTTGCAGGATGGTCCAGGGATTGAAAGAGAGACAGCCTTGTGCGAGGGGAGTGTCCTGCTCTCTGGACTCTCCGTGTCCCCACACCAGGGTCCCTTTAGTTCCACAGCCTTTGTTTTTGGATCATACCTGGCATTACACAGGGGATACTCCTGGCTTTGCACTAAGGAATCACTCCTGGCGGTGCTTGGGGACCATATGGGATGCTGGGGATGCTGGGAATCGAACCCGGGTCAGCTGAGTGCAAGGCAAACTCCCTGGCCGCTGTGCTACGCTCCAGACCCTATTCTCATTTGCAAAGAGAAATTAAATCCAGAAAGGTTCAGCATGCAGGGCCTTGCACACACCCAATCTGGCTTTGATCTCCAAACGATGTAGACCTCTCTAAATACCGCTGGCTGTGGCCCCAAAATCAAGGGCGGGGGAGAAATCTTCCCTTTCAGTCATACTTAGCGCACCTGATAGCAGTGAGGAGACCATCTCCCAGGGATAAGGACACTGGCCGGGACGAGGCCGCTGTACAGAGGTCAGTGTGGCCAAGGTAGGGCTGGATCTGCACTGCATGGTGTTCCCTGATGCCCAGTCCCGGGGATTAAGGCTTAGTTTGGGCCTCAGCAGACACTGACCAGGGGCTGTGGGGGTTCGTCTGGTGGTGTGGGGTCTGCCTGAAGCTCTGTCCCCTCCTGCCTCCCGGTCCACAGAGCACCTACTGTGCCACCATGGTCCAGCTCTGTGAAGCCCTCAGCCGTTCTGTCCAGGTGGTGAACTTAGATCCCGCGGCGGAGCATTTCAACTATGATGTGATGGCTGGTGAGTCCAGGGCGCAGCCTTCCCTCTCCTTGGGGGCCCTGAGGGAGTGAGTGCTGCCCCCTGCTTCTGGGGAGGCACAGAAGCTGAAAACTTCGTTCAGACTGATCCCTTGACTACTGCAATTTATTTGTTTTATTTTTTTTCTTTTATTGATGGGTGGGGTGGGGTTTGGGCCACACTCAGCTATGTTCAGTACTTCTGGACCTGTGCTCAGGAATCACTCCTGGTCAGGCTGAGCAACTATTTAAGGTGCCAAGGATTGAACCTGGGTTGTCCACAGGCAAGACAAGGGCAGTACCCGCTGTTCTATTCCTCAGGCCCGTGTTTGGTGTCTTTTTGTTTTTGTTTCTTGTTTTTTCTTTCTAGGCCCTGTTCAATTTTTTTGGATACTGTCACAGTTGTAATAATTACTAGTGAATATAAATATTTTGGAATGGGCACTTATTTCCTGTTTATTCTTTGCAGACATCCGGGAACTGATCGAGGTGGATGATGTGCTGGAGGAAGGCTCCCTGCGCTTCGGTCCCAATGGAGGACTGGTGTTTTGCATGGAGTATTTTGCCAATAACTTTGAGTGGCTGGAGAACTGCCTTGGCCATGTCGAGGATGACCACATCCTTTTTGACTGTCCAGGTAGCTCAGTAATTAGATTGTCATCTTCCCTGGGTTTTGCAGTTCTGTCCTTGGTGGGAGAAAGTGAAATTAGCATCTCATTTACTTTTACCCCACATTCTTGGACAGTGGACTGTCATCCCATGAGGGGCTGTGGAACGTCTGTTTGTTTTCTTCTCTTTGGGGGCCACATCCAGAGGTGCTAGGGGCTGAGGCTGTTCCGAACTCCATTATCAGGAGGTTGCTCCCACCCCTGCTTGGGGGACCAAAGCATGCTGGGAACTGAGCCAGGCTTTCTGCATGCAGAGCATATGCTCAGCCTGTTGTTTCTTGGGCGCCACGTCATGCAGCTTTATTATTATTATTATTATTATTATTATTATTATTGTTATTTTGATTTACGGGTCTCAGCTGACGATGCTCGGGAGTTACTCCTTGCTTTGCACTCAGGAATCACTCCTGGCAGTGCTTAGGGGACCATATGGGATGCTGGGAATCGAACCCGGGTCGGCTGCGTGCAAGGCAGATGCCCTACCTGCTGTGCTATCACTTCAGCTCTGGTCATGCAGCTCTTGAAAGGTTTGCTTTAGAGCTAGAGAGACAGAAGGATGGGTAGGATGCTGCGGCAGACACAGGTTCAGTCCTTGGCACCATATATGGTTCCATGAATACTAGTGGGTATGGGCCAAAAACAAGATTTTTTTTTTTTTTTTTTTTTAGGGCCATAGCACAGCAGCTAAAGCCCTTGCCTTACTTTTTGCTATTCCAGTTTTGGATCCCTGGTACCATATAGGATCCCCCAAGCACTGCCAGGAGTTGTCTTTTAGTACAGAGTCAAGATTCCTCCCCGAATACCAGTGGGTGTGGCCCAAACCTCCGCCCCTCAAAATAAGAGAATAAAAATTTGTTTTAAAATCTGTCATTGTCGGGGCTGGAGCGATGCGATAGCACAGCGGGTGGGGCGTTTGCCTTGCACGTGCCCGACCCAGGTTCGAATCCTGGCATCGAATATTGTCCCCTGAGCACCGCCAGGAGTGGTTCCTGAGTGCAGATGCAGGAGTAACCCCTGAGCATCTCCGGGTGTGACCCAACAAGCAAAATAATAATAATAATAATAAATAAATAAATGAAATCCCTGTGGCTGTCCTCCCGCTGTTTATTGATTTGCTTGAGCAGGCCCAGTAACTTCTCCATCGTGAGACTTGTTGTTACTGTGTTTGTCATATCGAATACGTCATAGGTAGCTTGACAGGCTTTGCCATGTGGGCAAGATCTTCTCGTAGCTTGCCGGGCTCTCCGAGAGGGGCAGAGGAGTTTAACCCGGTTTGGCCGGGCCGGCTGCGTGCATGGAAAATGCCCTACCACTGAGCTATCACTCCAGCCCATTTTAAACTCATTTTTAATAATTGTAGTGCAACCAGCCAACATGGCCGACTGGAATTTGATTTCTCCACCCCTCTTGGAGAGCCCGGCAGGCTACCGAAGAGTATCTCGCCTGCACAGCAGAGCCTGGCAAGCTCCCCGTGACATTTTCAATATGCCAAATACAGTAACAATTGTCACAATGGAGATGTTACTGGGCCTGCTCGAACAAATCGATGAACAGGAGAACAGTGATGATGATGATGACAGAATATTTTCTTTGTATGCCCCTTTTATACATGTGCACCCAGAGTTGCTTAAAAAATTCCGTGGGGGGCAAGGGGAGCTGGTGTGATAGTACAATGGGTTTGGCGTTTGCCTTGCATGCAGCTGACCCGGAACCCCAGCATCCCATATGGTCCCCCAAGCACTGCCTGGAGTAATTCCTGAATTCAGTGCCAGAAGTAACCCCTGCGCATCGCCAGGTGTGACCCAAAATGAAAAAAAAAATATTGGGGGACCCAGAGAGATACTACAGTGGGTAGGGCACTTGCCTTGAACACAGCTAAGGTGATCCCTGCTACCCTATATGGTTACTGGAGTCTGTCAACAGTCATCCCTGAGCACAGAATCAGGAATAAGCCCTGAGCACTATCAGGTTGTCCCCTCCCCCCCCAAAAAAAAACCCAAAATTGAATATAGTATAGGACCTATAGATATAGTGTGCTGGGGACATACTTTACATGTAGTGGGCCTTGCATGTAGTAGGCCTTGCATGTAGGACTCTGAGTAGCTTCGAGCCCTCCCAGAAGTTTCAGAGAGACCCTCAAGCATCCCCACGTGCGGCTTAAAACAAGCAAAATTGGATATATTACTTGTAGGAATTGACTTCCTTTAAAAAAATTTGGGGGGGGACCGCGGGTGCCATATCTGATGATGCTCAGGGGTTACTCCTAGCTCCTGTGCTCAGGAATTACTCCTGGCTATGCTCAAGGGACCCTATGGGATCGAACCCAGGTTGGCTGTGTGCAAGGCAAGTTCCCACCCTTTATACTATCTCTCAAGCCCCCAAAGACAGTTTCTGGGAAAAGTTTTTTCCCATAATTGAGGGTTGAATGTATTTTATGTTTATAATAAGCTTGTGTTCTTGGCGGTCAGATCGAGTTGTACACAAACCTGCCCATGATGAAACAGCTGGTTCAGCAGCTGGAACAGTGGGAGTTCCGAGTCTGTGGAGTGTTTCTTGTTGATTCTCAATTCATGGTGGAGTCGTTCAAGGTTTGAAACTATACCTGTCCTTGATTTTTAGTCTCCGGCACAAGCAGTGTACAAATACCTTTAGTCATAATCGTTTAATTGTTAACAGTTCATGAACTATACCCAGGAGTGACTTGAAACTTATGTTTGTTAAATTAATATGCTAAGAAGATGGCTCCAGTGGCAGAGCACAGAGCCTGCATGTTTGAGGCCCTGAGTTTGCCCCTTGTTCACTGTTCAGTGTAGTTCCAGTGGTCCCCAACTCTCAGCTGTCACCTTCAGGAGTCGTCCCAGGGCGGTGTCAGAAGTAAGTCCCAAGCACCACAGTAAGTCCCAAGAGGCTCCAAAACTAGAAAAAAAAAAAGCTGGATGCTAGAGAGATAGTACAGTGGGTAGAGCTCTTGCCTTGCATGTGGCCAGCCTGGGTGTCATTCCTGCCATACTGCCACTGGGCCCCCGAGCCCCTCCAGGAGTGATCCTTGACCACAAAGCTCAGACTACTACTGGGTATTCCCCAAAACTGAAAGGGAGGCCGTTTGGTTCTGTCTCCATCATTCCAGGTGGTTCCCTAAGCTGCTCAGGAGTAATTCCTGAGTACAGAAGCAGAAGTGACCCCTTAGTAATATCAGGGGATTGTGTGACCCAGAAACCCAAAAGGAAACACCCATCAGGGGAGGTGGAGAGCGAGCATGAGAGAAGATAACGTTAAAAGGTCAGAAATAGTAAAGCGCTTCCCAAAAATAAATAAATAAGTAAATTTTAAAAAATGGGGGCTGGAGTGATAATACAGCGGGTAGGGCCTTTCATACAGCCAATCCAGGTTCGATTCCTAGCATCCCTGAGCACCACTAGGAGTAATTTCTGAGTGCAAAGCTGGGAGTAACCCCTGTGCATTGCCAATAATTACCCCCCCCCCAAAAATAGTACAGGGCTTAAGGAGCTCGCCTTGATGTGGCCCACCTGCTTTTAATCCCTGTCACTACATGTTTCCTCAGTGCTGAACTCAACCCCAGCTACCTCCTGAACACTTTAAAATATTGTTGAGTGGAGAAGTGTGGTCACTGTAGATCGAGTTTCTCCTTCCCATCTCACCTTTAGAATCCTAAGGTCAGCTATTGGCCCAGCAGTCTTCTGTTCGGCCATGCCTGGCAGTGCTCAGGGCTCACTACTGGCGCTGGGTTGAGGAATAACTTAGGTAGTGCTCTGGGAACCCTGTGGAGCGTTGGGCTAGAACCTGGGCTGACCAGGCGCAAGGCAAGCGCCTTAAAGCCTGGACTCTTGCTCGGGCCCCAATCTTAGCGTTTCTCCTATTTAGGTGGGTTTTGTTCCAGTGGGGATCAGAAAACTTTTATGTGGACACTGTTGGTGACACTAATTCATTGTCCCTTTTCTGCTTCCTCCTTCAGCTTATTTCTGGCATCTTGGCAGCCTTGAGTGCTATGGTATCTCTAGAAATCCCGCAAGTTAACATCATGACAAAAATGGACCTGCTGAGTAAAAGAGCTGAAAAGGAAATTGAGAAGTAAATTCACTATAATTAAGGTCTCATTGGCAGTGCTGAACCTTTTTCGTTTCACTTCGATTGTCAGTCTACAAATTTAGTGTTTAGGATTCTTTCATTCACCAGTCTCTCATGTTTAAAGGTTTCTAGATCCAGACATGTATTCGTTATTAGATGATTCTACAAGTAACTTCAGAAGCAAAAGATTCAATAAATTGACTAACGCCATATGTGGGCTGGTAAGACTTTGTATTTTTGTAATTTTTGGTGGTTGGGGGTTCGGGCCTCCTGTGCTGTGGGGCCTAGGGGCCACTCTGATTATTGGACCACCAGGCTAGTACTGGTCAGTGCTGGGGCCCAGAGGGCCGTACCAGCAGTATTATTTGCTTCCTGGCTATACACAGCAATGCTCAGGATGCCATCTGGAGCCAAGAATCAAGCCCTGTGCTAATCCCTGGGCTGATGAGTTTTGCAAGTGTTTGCTGTTATTGTGGGATGTTTTGAAGGTTTGGGGGCCACGCCCGGTGGTGCTCAGGGGCTGTTTCTCCCCTGTGCCTGGTGGACCATATGTGGTGCTGGGTGTTCAAACTGAGGTGTGCGGGGTGCAGGCCAGTTGTAACCCCTGTCGTAGCTCTTCATCACCTCCCCCCGCACCTCCCTAGACCCATATTTTTCTTCATGGTCTTGTCACATGCTTACACACCCCCAGGCAGTGGCCACCATATGGACGGCACAGACCAGCGCATTTCTTTTTATACGGGAGCAGCATGTTGGGAGCGGTGGGCTGTCTGCTTCGAAGTTAGTATAGAAGTAGGGAGAGAGCTCAGTGGGCAGCACCACAGGCTTTGCACACAAGGCGCCCAGGGTTCATCTCTGGCACCATATGGTCGCCACCAACGTC